TCACAACGGATTTAAAATACTCATAATAAAAAAAAACAAAACATAAAATGCTTCAAGGAGCCAAACTATAAACAAGATGAAGAATGGAATCAAGATAAATAAATTGTATTTATATAGCTAAATATATTGCCTTAGGTTTTGGTAAATTTTAAAAGTAGTGAGTTCAATAAATGAAACATACCAAATAATTGTTTTTAACAAAAGAATGCAGCATCATTATATTATGACAATTGGATAATGAATCAATTCAACTTTCGACTTAAGATTTTAGGGAGGGGTATTTAAGAGGGCTTTAAATTTGAAGTCAGGTTTAATTGGTGAGAAAACAATTAAAATTTTCATTAAAAAAGATCAAAACAAATCAAATATACAACGTAATATATATTTAAAAAAAAAAAAATTACAAAATTAAAAAAAAAAACACCGAATTAAAAAAAAAAAAAAAAAAAAAAAAACCGAAGAAAAAGCAGCAACTAAAAAGTCATAAATATCTCTACTGAGAGAAGACCTTTTGGTTGCTGTTTTTTCTTTGGTGTCTCCCAACACCCCGGTATGGATGAGCCCTCCATTTAAAGGAGGGCTCATCCATTCCGCCATGATCTTTCCATTTTTTGAAGGACCTCTCTGAGAGAGGTCCCGGGTGTTGGGAGCAATAATTTTTGTATTCTTCGAATGATAAGGAATCTAAAGTTACAAATAGAAGAATGTAATAAAAATTATACATTTGCAATTATTTAAAAAAAAATTAGCATAACCTCACCATTTTCATTCGATACAGAAGATGCTGAAAAAAAAAAAAAAGAGAGAGCAAATTAATAAGGGTTAAACATGCAACATTTTGTATTTTAATAAAAATATAGGGCAATAATGCAAGCAGTTCAAAAGTGTCATATTTATTAATTAATTTTTCCACCTATTGCACATATTTCTCCATACAAAACATATAAAATATAAAACACAGCCCTACCAGCTATACTTTCACCAGACACTAAAGATAAATGTATACTTAAATAAATATAAAATAATCGATAAAATAATGTTAACATATAAATATATACATATCTAAATAATTGTTTTACCCATCCCCCTCATTTCATCCATAAAGTTGTCTAAAGTAAGAAAAAAATAACTAAAGCTAAAAACAAAACTATAAACTAAACCAAAACTATAAACTAAAGTAAACTTTAAATCTTCTAAATATTAATGCTTTATTTATTAAACTAAACTAATCATAATTTATACTTAGCTTTTGTTCCAACTCCCCTAAAAGAAAGTATAAAATAAAGCTAAAGAACTTGATTTTTTAAAATTCCAGTGGCACTACAAATAAACAAATTCCTATTAACAAATATCTAATAGCAAAAACACTGACTTATTTCTTTCATAATTTCTGTATCTAAACAATAAAAGCACTTTAATGTTTAGACGTTAAATTATCGATAAAATGCATATTAAATGCCACATTCAACTAATGTAATTAATACCTTTATTAGATCTCTCTTGATTAACTAAAGAATTTAAATTTTAAATAAACTCTAACTAAATTTTAACAAACAAACAACCAAAATAAATCTTTACTTTAATAGTACGTTATTAAGTTGATTAATAGATCAAACAATTTAATCTACTCTAATAATCTACTACCTTATTAATAAACTTTAATTCTTTTTCCACGACTCAGTGTAACTATAATATAGATATTTTTAAAATAAAAAAGAATTTAATATTATAATATATATGATTTTAAAAACCTGAAATTTTAAATCTACCTCGAAGAAAACAAATATATATTGAAAAGTATTTTTATTTCTTTTTAAATATTTAAAAATGCTATATAACTTACTTGTTTCAATATTATCACCAATGTCTAAATAGAAAAACAAACAAACATTCAAGTCGACTCATTCTTAAATCTTATAATATATATGATTTAAAAAACCTTAAATTTTAAATCTACTTCGAAGAAAACAGATATATAATGAAAAGTATTTTTATTTCTTTTTAAAAATTTAAAAAAGGTTTATAACTTATTTGTTTCAATATTATTACCAACGTCTAAATAAAAAAACAAAGATATATGATTTATATATATGATTTTAAAATATATATGATTTTAAAAACCTGAAACTTTAAATCTACCTCAAAGAAAACAGATATATATTGAAAAGTATTTTTATTTCTTTTTGAAAATTTAAAAATGCTTTTTAACTTACTTGCTTTAATATTGTCATCATCTAAATACAAAAACAAACAAACATTTAAGTCGACTCATTCTTAAATCTAGTTCAATTTCTTTAATAATAAAAAAAATTTAATCTTTGAGGATTAAATTCGTTTACAAAAATTCGTTTAGGTTCTTTTAAACCATTCTAATATTGTAAAGTTAATTTAAAGTTTTAAAAAACTGAAACTTTAATTTTACCTCAAAGAAAACAGATATATATTGAAAAGTATTTTTATTTCTTTTTAAAAATTTAAAAATACTTTTAAACTTACTCCCTCCAATATAATTATATAATATACGTAAAAATATATGATAAATAAACCTCCACAATTTCCTTGGTTTAACAACTCGATTATGATTAATAACAACTCTGTAAACATGAATTTTCTAATAACCTAAATAAGTTACAGATAGACAAACATAAATAACACAATTAAATCCTAAACCAAAATTCATTCATGCAAGACAAATTATTTTATATTTATTGAAGAGCCAGAAACATATTTTTTTTCAAAGAGCAAAAGTATTAACAATATTAAAGATAAATTTTATTTATAACAAAATTTTCAATAAAAATTAAATTAAGATAAATTTATAAAAAAATGTTGTCATGACTTTTACCCCAACAACCAAAACTAAGTGAAAGCATGAAACTACCCAAAAATATACTTTAACGCTAGACACAATTTAAGAAATAAAGTAATCTGTAACACGAAGCTTTAAATTTAAAATTACAATTTAAAAAAGATTACAATAAATTAATTACTTTTAAATTTAAAAAAAATTTTAGATTACCTATAATTTTAAGCTACTAAACATTATCTACTTTATGTCAACTTAGACATTTTGAACTCGTACCATAAAAGATTGAAAGGAAATCTTTAAGAAAGAAAAGTCTAGAAACTACATAAAAAGTGTATTTTACAGATACAGAACCGTACCGTAACTATAAAACAATACGCATAACTATGCGCATTAATAATAATATTCACTCCGCTATTCATTATTAAGATATGGGCATATGTGCAATGCTCATATACCCATAATGCACATATACATATAATGCACATTGTGCATATATGCAATAATACTTAACTAGCTGTCGTGATCCGTAAAATACGGGTCTTGGCAAATTCGTTCCACACCGACTTTTTCTATACTTATTGCTTACTTCAATATGTTTTAGTATTAGGTAGGAAAAATAACTAAATACATATATAGTAACAATATTTATTGTTTACTTTTTAAAGATATAAGATAAATTTTCTATTGTATTTAACTTTAAAAAACTTTTAACGTTTTGGTAGACGTTGCGCGAATCGCTATTTATCAACGAATAATAAAGGATATCAGTACCAGCCTAAATAACATTTATAACACCTGCTTGAAATTAACTACCATTAGTATGAAAAATTTTTAAAACATGAGATGATGTGAAATAACTGACTTAACATGACCTGTATAACTATTACTGAATATAAATATATTAGTGGTCATCCCAGTAAGCACATATCGTTTTTAAAACGTTTAAAAAACGTTAAAAACCGTTTTTATAGGTTTTTTAAACGTTTTAAAACCGTTCTGTGCTTACTAGGATGGTAAGTCTATTCCACACCTACCATTTAAAAAATTTCATTTTATTTCAATAATTTTTAAAAAACACCAAAATATAAAAATTTTTGTTTTGAGTCAAAGGTTAACTTTCAATACTTTACAACTTCTGTAAACTTGCAATTGATCGCGCTGCAGATAGCACGTCAAAACAGTGGTCTCTTACATCTTCAAATGTTTATGTTTGTTCAGCACACTTAATTACTGGTAAACAACTTTTATTAAAATTTGATTGTATATACTAAATGAATTACAATTAATAGTACTTGTTCAAAAATTTCAGGTAAAAGAGAGCTCTTTGAGAAACATCCAGATTCAGTTCCATCAACTTTTGATACTAGAATAAAAGGTTCTCCTCAAAGAAATACCAATAATAACAAAATTAACCGAGTCAGTAGGAGGATAAATAGACAAAGTAAATATTATTGTTTGCTTCAATTCATTTTGTTTAAACTACTTTGATGTTGTTTAATTTAAAAATTTTTTTTTAGAAATAAGTGTTTCTGCATGCAAAAAATTAAAACTATGTGCTTAATTAATTAATGAGGATGTTGATTTTGTCATTGAAAAAAGGAGTTTTAGTAGGTAGGTAAAACGAAGGTAAGTTTGAAAAAATAATTATTCAATTTAAGTATTTACAATTGCAATTTGTATAATTTTAGTTATAATTAATAATGATCATGTATATTGTATATGTTTTAAAAAAATAAAAAAAGTATCTTGTATATGTTTTAAAACTGCTCCAGTAAATTTTTATAAAATAAATGTATTTCATACTTAACAGAAACCGATAATCAAGTTAGTACTGAAGATTATTTGCAAGAATCTGATATCAGTAATCCTATATGCTCCAAAAATTTTTTAGAACAATCTTCCATTCATGTCATGGTATTAATTAATTTTTTATTTTAGTTTTTTACATTTTTGCATAGTTGTAGATTTTTCTTTTTAACAATTTTTCAGAAGTTAATAGTTCTATACTTACTAAAGCTATTTTAGAACGTTGACCATCAGAAATTTAATTTTAAAAATAAAATGGCTATACAAATATAAGTTTAAAATATGTTTTCTCTAATAATAATTTGTGCGAATTAAAGTTTTTTTAGCACAAAGGTCTTCAATTACTTCTAACTTGTCTTCTAGTAGTATTTTTTGTTTTTGTAATTTTGTTTATTTTTCGTTTATAATCTTTATTTTGTAGAAATTGAAAAATAATTTAATAATATATTTTAAAATTTAGTGTTCCTATAATTAATGAAGATGTTTATGTTCAAGATTTCAGTAAGAGTTATATACAAGGTATTAATTTAAAAGTTCAAAAATTAATTTAAAAGTCATATGCAAAAAATTCATTTAAACATCATATGCAAATTTAAAATGTCAATTGTATTTTTTTCTAATTTAAAGGAAAGAGTGCTCCTGTAAACATCAATGTTCAGCAAAGTTCAACCAATAGTTCTTTAAAGTCAGAAATGAGTTTTACTGAAAAATCTGAAATTGATATTGAAATACTTCTTATAACATCAGGAAGACAACAATTATACAGTAAATTAAATAGCCTTCGATTAGAAAGAGATTTATTTATGTCGAAGTGGATATCATTAAAAGATAGCAATTGCAGTTTAGGAATAAATAAAATTCGAGCCAATCTTGGTAAATGCAGTCTGCTCACTGGACTTAATCTTCGTGTATTAGAAAAACTGTTGAGTTTCCTATGCAAAGGAACTCCAAAAAGTTCATTAAAAAGATTTAATACAGAAGATAAAATTGTTTTCTGTTTAGTTAAATTAAGACACAGCATTAACTTTGATATGTTATCATTTATGTTTGACTTTAAAAAAACTACTACCTTGGATAACTTTTGGAAATGGATTGATATTATGTATGTGAAATTAAAATATTTAATAAAAATGCAAGATGGAAATCATATATACGAAACAATTCCTCCTGTTTTCAAAAACAAATTCCCAAGACTAACATCAATTATTGATTGTTTTGAGGTTTTTGTGGAATCACCATCATCTCTAATGGCACGAGCACTATTTACAGCGAATATAAAAAACATTGTACAATAAAATGTCTTATTTCATGCACACCTAATGGAACGATTAACTTTATTTCCAAATACTATGATGTGAGAGCTTCTGACAATCAAATAACTCGTTTATCAGAATTTGCATCTAGCAAGTACCATATGCCAGACGATTAAATCTTATCAGATAAAGACTTTACTTTACAAGACAGTTTTGCAGCTGGAAGTTGCTCTATATTAATAAATCCAGCTTTTACAAAGGATAAAACACAACTTTCTGCCTCGGAGGTAGAAAAATCTCGCAAAATATCATCTGTTAGAATTCACATAGAAAGAGTTATTGGGCTGTTGAAAACTCCTTACACCATTCTTCAAGGTGTATTGCCTTTACAAACTGTTAAAAACATTGCTGATGAAGCTACCTCAGTTACTTTATCTAATTGTGACAAAATTGTAACAGTTTGTGCTGCTTTAACAAACCTTGGTAAAGGAATCGTTCAATTTTTTTAAAACGGCTATTTTCATAGCCACATATCTTAATAAAAGCATTATTTGACAAAAAGAACCTCAAGAGGTGGTACAAGAGTTGTACTCATGGATTTTCTTTTTCCGGAAAATTTGGAATTTCAGATATTATTATTAACTTTAACTTTCCCCAAATATCCTAAAATTTTCAAGAAATTAAAGTTGAGGTATATATTTTAGAAATATATTTATTTTCAAGCTTTTTCACTTATAGCTCATACTGTATTAGCGATAAGTGAAAAAGCTTAAAAATAAATATGTTTTCAAAATACATACCTCAATTTTCATTTCTGGAAAACTTTAGGATATCTAGGGAAACTTAAAGTTGATAAGTTTTGAATGTCATACTAAAATTAAAATGGAAATCAACTCAGGTAATAGCTAATCAAAGTGGAAAATATAATCCGGATTATACAGGATATCTTACCTAATTTTTTAAATATGACCCTATTGATCAATATATAATCAGGGATTATCTTTTTCTGGATATTTCATTTAGTTTTTTTGAATATCCAAAAGGTTTTTTATACCAACAAATATATATATATATATATACATATATATATATATATATATATATATATATATATATATATATATATATATATATATATATATATATATATATATATATATATATATATATATATATATATAAACGTATATATATATATATATATATATATATATATATATATATATATTTATATATATATATATATATATATATATATATATATATATATATATATATATATATATATATATATATATATTTATAATTTTGCTCACATTTAATGAGAGAAGAGGGAAAAGAAAGAATAATGTAAACAAAATGATCCCTGCCCCAACCCTGACTCTTCGATGTGTTATCAACTCCCTTGCGAGTTCTCCATAAATCAGTCGATGTTTTGTACTGAAGTCCTCGCCTACCCCTAAATCAGTATAGCGTCATAGTGCTCACCAAAGTATGCAATATCGTTTATATACACATTTATACATATATGTTTCTTTTTCTTTGTAGATAAATAAAAATACTTATTATGTCCCATTCACAAAAAAAGTGTGATCATGACACAAACCGAAAAAACTTTGTTACTTTTGCGCCCACAAAACATCAAGATTATTAAATAAGCAATCGATAAAAGAGAAAGTGTCCACTTTTGGTTTAGATTGCACTAATACAAAAAATCCACTCGGCATATGTGATAAATGTAGAAATAATATACTTAGAAAAAATTGCTTGCCGGATTTAAAAATAGACTGGACTAAAAACATTGTTACACCTTTAACCAGAAATTCTACTAGTTGTGACTGTAAAATATGCAAACAAATCAGTCTACGTGGAAGAACCCGAGCAAGAAGAAGTAATAAGTTTTTCAAGTTGCGTGCACCCCATAAAAAAATATGTAAATCTTATCTTTCAAACATTGGGAAGGGAAAGAAGCACAAATGTGGAAATAAAACGTTAGCTGTAAAATTATTAGAAAAACTTCAAACCTCAGCCAAAATTAAGGATCAGATTGCTTCTCAAGTTATCTCAGAAAAATCATATAGACAAGGATCAAAAAGGATTAAATTTGCTACAAGTGCCAAATCTTTACAAATATTAGTAGGAACCTTAACAAATAAACCTAAACAGATCACCTTGATTGTTTTATTAAGGATTCAATCAACACTTTCTTTGTCCAACAAGAAACTAATACTACTAGCAAAAGAACTCAGGTAAGAACGATTTGAAGTATATCTTACTCTTTTTAAGTAATTTAGTTAGCCTAAATGTATATGTTTTTTTTAATAGAACATCAATTAAAAGAAAATCTTGCATACAAGCAAACCTACAAAAAGCTCTTCCGGTAATTGATGGTGCCCTTTGTAATATCCGTGTTCGGCATAATACACACATGCCTCGTGTTATTATTACACTTGAAATAAATGGTTAGCGTTCTTTAGGATGATCCAAAATAAGGTTTTGAATTTTCAAAAAAACGCAGACCTAGAACGGATTGAGTTGCTATTAGGCATGCGTTCAAATTATAAACCTTATTCTGGATCATTCACGCTGAAGTTGTTATTAATGGAGCTTCGCAGATTCAACTATTAATATAAAAACTTTGATGAGTTAAAGTAGAGAAGTTTTGTAAAGGAAAAGACCCAAAATGAAAGCAGAAAGTATTGTAAAACCAAAAAAATGCAGCAATGACGTTACATGTAAAGTAATAACAGACCTTCCAAACAAAGAAAACCAAGAGTTTCCTGATAACAAAGAAAAAATGGACACAGTTGTTTCAAACGAGGACGAACAAGAATTAATTTTCAATTTCGAAAGTTACGATCCTTTATTTTGTGTGGAGAAAAAGTCGTAAGATTTTCTTAATATTTTTTTACCTTTTCCAATTAATTTTCTATTTTCTTAATTTTTTTTCTCTTTTCTTAAATCTATAAACTTCTGTCGAGTCTTTTACGTTCTAATCTATTGTTTAATTTTTTCTCATACTCAAAAATCTGTAAAATCTTTCGATTCTTTTACGTTCTATTTTAAAATGCATGTTCTATTTTTAATTAAGCGCATAAGCTGTCGTAATCTCTATTGTTGCAGCTCGCGCCTTTGTATAAAATGTTATGGTTCAGTGCGTCCATCTGTTAGTAACGAAAACTCGAGCAATAAGGTTAAGGTTTAAATGTTTGTACTTTTTATGTCAGGTTGTAAAGTTATCATATTTATGTTTAAGTTACACGAGTTTTCAAATTAGGAAAACTGATTCTCTCCATCATGACTCTTAATGTTTTAACGTGCAACATAAATGGTCTAAACGACCAAATAAAACACGACAATTTTTTTAAGTTTTCAAAAAAATCCTATTTCGATCTCATTCTCCTACAGGAAACACACTCTGGACCTTCCACTGTTAAACAGTGGGGAGACGAATGGACTGGCGAGTCCATTTGGAACTCCGGTCCAAGTCATAACTGTTGCAGGGTGGCAATACTCTCTAAATCTAACATTTCCTTAAACGAACTAAAAAGGGATAATAACGGTAGGATATTAAATGTCATGATAAAAATAGACGAACACGAAATACAGGTGCTGAATATTTACGCTCCCAATGTTCCGAGAGAAAGGCGCATTTTTTTTAGTGACCTTGGTGATTTCTCGCAGGACACGGGACTACCCGTCCTGTTGGCTGGAGACTTCAACATGGTCGAAAACCTGCCTCTCGACACAGAAGGCACGAACAACGCTAAATATCACACCTACGGCGTTGACGAACTCGGGATATTCCAAGGTAAGTATAACCTAGTTGATATTTTTCGTTTCAAGTTCCCAAACAAAAGAGAATTCACATGGCGAAATCAGAAGGCAAAATGTAGACTCGATCGAAACTACTGCCCTGATAAAGATCGAAACTACTGCCCAAAAAAACAACATATACAAAGATTCTCACCAACCCCTTTTCCGACCACGAGTTCGTGACAACCTCCGTCAATTTTAGTAAAACAAGAAGAGGACCAGGATACTGGAAATTAAATTGTTCCCTTTTGGAAATAGAGGTGCATAGGCAAAAAATTGAACTCTTAATTAAAGATTGGCAAGTTAAAAAACGGTCCTACAACTCACTTTTAAAATGGTGGGACAACTTTTAGGGTTGAATTACAACATATATCATTACAGAAAAGTGCGAAAAACAAAAAACACATCGGAAGGGTTAAAAACGAAATCCAACGGGAGCGACAAAACGCTAACCCGAATTTAGATAGCATCAAAGAAAAACGCGATGCTCTTTTCTTGCTCCAGTTTCCAGGAGCAATTATTTGCACGAAACAAAAACTAATTGAATAAGGAGAAAAACCTTTGAAGTTTTTGTACAATTGGGAAAAAAGTCATCAGCGGAACAAGTCAATTACCGAAATTCGCAAGAACGACGGCACATTGACGAGTGAACCTGGTGAGATATTAA